CATTTTATAACTTATTTATTGACATAGGTAATTGCAAAAGAGCATTTTTTTCCAGGTGAGTCTTTGAAGGATACGAAGTATTCTGTTAAACGGCAATAACGGGCGAACTGACGCTTGACAACATTTTAGTGGATGTGACTGAAAGGCGATTTAGCGCCTCGCACAGGTTCAAGTTCTTGTGAAATTCTATTGCGTTAACAGCAACGCTATTTTAACACCGCGATGATAGGTTTTCACTACAACACTGAATGTCCCAGTTATAACCTGTTAAAAGAAATGGACATATTTCCAATCTGAAAATTGTGCACTACAAATGATCATCCACAAAATTTTATTCTCAGCTGAGTTTTCAAGGAATTCACATTCCTTCTTCCCAGCCCTTGTGTACGCGATGACTTAAAGGGGGCGGTTGGTGATTTAAAGATTATAGTGACTGACACACAAAGTAACATTATAAGGATTTACGTGAAAACACACGTGTTAAGAAAAAAAAACAGGGGACCCAAGACTTTCTGTTGAAAACATTGATTAATTGGCGGTTGGTGAAACGGCACACACTGATGTTTAATTAACTGAGCAGAATCAAGTGCGAACTTGGCGAAGCACCATAGAGATTGAAAATAAGAATTGCAAAACCCAAAATCGGACCTCAGATAATGGTGTTGCCAACCTAGACAAACCGGTTTCGGAAAAGACAAATTATTTAAGGCCAGATGGAAAGTCGCAACCAGAGAAGGCAAACACCCATACGAAAAAATGTCAATCAGTTTAAATGAAGAAAAGATGACCCACATCAACGTTCCAGATATGGACACACTGATCGAAGGAACCCGTTGCAAGGAAACGACCATCAGGACTGAAGGCAACGCTATAAACGGGTTCTGTGTGTCGTTGCAAGGTTTGCCGACAGGTGCCAGTCTTCACATCCCACAGCCGTACCGTGGAGTCGAAGCTTGCACTTAAGAGGGAGAGAAAATAATACAATTAGGTATCGAAGTGAATGTATTGAACACAGAGATAACGTTGACCTACGGACAACTTGCACCACTGGGTCAAGTAAAATTCACGACGATGTGATTGTGATGAGCTCCTCATTTATGCACTATGCACGAACATTACACCATTTTTACGACCGATTGAGAAAACACCGAATTGATGGGTGGTCTGGCAAAAAACACATTTTATTGCATTTAATTTGTCCCGTAAGATTAGAGACGATGAGACATTGCGGACACACCGCAGGGCTGGGATAGCATCACCCTTTTCTCCCAATCGTGACTCACCAGCCCAGCATGGGCTAGCAGCACAATGGGCTGGAGACGCGTTAGCCCAAGAAGGGTAGAAATCAATAACCTGACGGATATGGTGGCGAATGTAAGTGCCTCAAGGTGATGCGGAACTATAAAATTGGTCATAAGGGCCTTTGAAATAACATATCGCATGGTAAAACATTAAGCGGAAATTCTAAACAAAAAACATTAATAAAACCGGCCGAAAACTTAATCAGTGGCACAACCGCTCAGTGTTGCTGCACACCACCTACATCATGAAACGAAAATAAATAAAAAATTCGACCACGACACCCACTGATTCACTCGCATTCCAAATAAACATTCATGTCCTTTACGTGTCGGTTGCATTTTCTAGTGCCTACAGGTGAAAGTAGGAATTCAGTGAAAATGAAGATAGTAACGGGGGAGGCAGTTAGCAGCGCATTACCCCCATGGCCAGGCATTCACATAGATGACTAATGCCAGCCGACCTTGAAAAGATGCGTCAGATGCGTGTACACGGCATTACGAAAAATAGGCCTACGCTTGCTCGTAAGGCATGCATGAAATTGATTGGAATGGGTGGGTAGCCGACACTGTGCGCACGAAACGCATACTGCTTCAGGAAGCAAAAACTAGGCCGTACATTGCGATGTGAATGAGCCAAAGACACGGCAACAGATTCGAATACGCATAACTGCAAGCACATGGTCATTTTGATGGCCCGATAGCTGCCGCACACCTGAGTTTTGTGGCCTAATGATAGGGTGTTAGCCATCGCGCCGGTCTACGAGTGTGGCACTTGAAACTGGGTCATGCCTGGAATGAACGCATCGTAGATTCACACGAGAACCTGCTGTTAGCTGTTCCACATTCCCGCCCACACACCTAAATGTCTGGACAGAAACGGGAATGCTAACCTGACAACACACAAAACAATTGTTTCCCAAGAAAGACAACCTTGTTAGTCATAGGTGGACGAAGCAAAAGTTTTCCTTGGCTAGTCGTTAAAAGGAATGGGAAAAAATTACGGAGGCAGAAACACGTACGCAGCTGTAACTGTAATACGGTTATGTGGTGGAACTCCATTCAACCAGAATGACGGTAACAATTACTGCTAAAATTCGCATTAAGTAGTGAGGGGTGGCGCATGGCAAGTGACATGGATACGGTGGCAAGGACGACGACCAAATGACCACTCATGATTGTCCACTGGGCATTAAAAAGCAGCCAGAACACTCCAACTCAATAAGTATTGAATGATCAGAATGAACAGGAAACCATGAGACTCGAAATAGATTTTTGTCTGAACAACTAATATATTCTTGCACGCACCTTGCAAGCCACAGATGAGCATTGGGGTAGGCGGTCCCGGGACCGGTTGGACTCCACTTAATTGTGTAAATCTCCTTTGCATGACCTTGTAGATCGTGGATGCATTGGTCACTGTTCATGTCCCATACCTTCAGAGTCCGATCATCAGAACATGAAGCGAGAAGCTCTCCGTTTGGGTCCCACTTGATCGCATTCACTTCATTCTAAAATAATCAGGAAGTAACCAACTCAAGCTGCACTAGGAAGTAAAGGCGTGTGCTGCAGTGTAACAAAAAAAACGTTGAGCTACCTACGCTCTATCGGAAGGCGTACTAGCCATAGCAACACGAAAATGCACGACCCGCGCCGGTTGTTATGGCTACGAATGTTTCGTGCGTGGGCGCGAATTTGAAGGAGACGACGGCCTTAAGGGCTTGGAGGCAGTGCCACACGCGAGTCACTGCGTCACACATCGCCCATACGGCTGCGCGTCTAATTCGAACGTCGCCGAAAGCCACGCACATAGGGAAGACACGTTCACGCAGCGCTGATCCACACAGACGCCACGAATCTACCACCCGCTACTACCTCTATTCTTACGGTGGCGCGGTCGATAAGGCCGTCGTACACACTTAGGCAGGATGCGATAACAAGTGTTATTGTGGAAAGGAAGCTCGGTTAACTAGACACCGTGTCAAAACGGACAGCCAAAGGCGGATACCACCAGCACGCTAGGATGATGCGGAAATGCTTATACTACTTAACAAAGCGAACCACGCAGTGCATTTTAGTGGGAAGAAAAGTTGGCCGAAAGTGTTGCTCGAATTGGAACAAACGGTTTCACAAATGCATTAACCGCGGTCTCTAGTTTAGCTAACCTGTAATAGCAAAGCCTTCCGCAAAAAAGGTGTCCTACAATAAATCTAAAGAAAGAGCAAACTAGCTACATATGCTTTGCTCCGAACCGCCGATTTCGCAAAGAAAAATGGCGCGCGAAGGTAGGCTCTCCACAGCAAGCAAACCCAGATCAGTAAAACGACGCAGCGTGAGAAACACATAGTTAAGAATGAATATGAACAATGCTAGCCAGTGAAAGATGACAATTTATGAGCACAACGCCTTAGCGACTTGACAAATGGCTACTGGATGCCAAATTAGCTGAATCAACACATTTCTCAAACAATGCTACGTGCTTCAGAACACGGAGTTACAATAGGGTGGACACAGTTCAACGTCAAAATCGACCATAACAATAGTGATGCAGGAATATGGACGAAAAAAGCAAACTCAAAACACTCTCCAATAGCGAACACCTACTTTTAATATTGCGTTTACAGAAGCCCGTGTCTGCATTACGAAAATGAGCTTGCAAAGATTTAACAAATAGTGAAGGGTAGGTAGCCGCGAGTGATGCATCAACTCCATGGGGTCTTGAGACTTTGGTTTATTGACCGGGTTTCGCGATTTAGATTATTTAATTCAATTTGTGAATTGAACAGCATGCGATTCGTCAGTACAGAAAAAGGTAAACCATGCAAGCAAATACTAACACGACGAAAAAAACATTTTAGCTTGCACAATGACCAGTAAGCAGGAAACCACCGGCATAGTCGATATTGCAATAATAATTCCAAGTAAGTAAACTACGTCTGAAATACTAGAGGCTTGGAAGTAAGAAAGATGCAAATCTTTCATCAGAACACAGCAATAAACTAAACCGCATGCACTCTCTTGGCATTAATCGACAAAGTGTGACGCTCACGAAGGACCCTCAGCATGTTAATCAAGTTGAATCGCATAGACAATAATCTGACAAAAGTACGTTACATCCGAATACAGCCTAATGAATGCACTATAAACAACTAATAATGATTGATTGGCGTAGAAATGCCAAAGCATAATTTATGTCACCACTCTCCAAAATTAACCATGTTTAATGGTGTAAAGTGATGCACTGCAAAGCTGCAATAATAGCATGGCTGACAACAGTAATTTGGATGGAGGCACTGGAAGTTGATGGGATAGTCTCCAAAATTAGACCATTTGGCGTATTTTATCGTGAATGGAAGACATTGACAACAGACAGCAGTAGTTCGGTTTCTCACGAATAACCTGGCAATTCGAAATGCAATAGATTTATAAAACTATCAAGACGGCAATTTTTCGTAGTCGAGAAGAATAATGCTATCTGGTGAAAAACGAGAGAACCGAAGTGACGGTAAAAGCCTCTTAACCGCTATAACTCGCTACCGCATCGTGTGCTAGGAACGAGCTAGCAATGCTACATTACGGGCTCGAGAACCACATGTTCCAATCCAGTGCCACAGAGCAGATTCCCTTGAAACTTTGTCCTTTTATGGTGCCAATGGGATAAAGGCTAAGGTACTGAGAGTAATGAGCGATTTAAGAGAATGCAGGTCTGTGGTGGCTAGTGTCTAGCACTACCTTACGACCCTCTAGTTAACAGGCCGTAACAACCCGAGAAGGGTGGAAAAAGAGAACACGACCCTATACTAGAGTCACACCAGCCATTGAAATATAGCTGAACGGATGACAGGCACCTGATACAGTAGCCAATGAAAAGGGGGTGAGTCATTGTCACCGTCAGTTCGGTAACCAGGGTTCACTCAGGCGCGATCGCTGTTAATCCGCTACAGACAATTGTCTGTTGTCACGTGAAAATATTTCCACATAATTGACTACCTCCCGTTGTTTCGTACTATAACGAGCGTGGGTTGCACAGGGCTTCCACAAAAATGGCGCCACTGTCATCTATTTCTCGTTAAAATATGAGTATTAGTCAGTGACCTAGAAAATGTGACTTTACACCACAATCTCTGAGCACACAGTCAACCCAGCTGAAGAGCGCAATTACACGACTACACAGTACACACAAATACCCAAAACAATTGTTAAAAAGTTGGGATAGTTACAGGAACTACGAACGAATACCGTAAATGGATTAAATGTGCATTTCCATAAATCACCCAAGTCATAACAAGATTAAAAATGACGACAATCGAGTGTGCGAAGAGGAAAACAAGTTGATGAAGTACATTACAAAGCGAATGTGAAAAAAAAAGAAGCTCGCAGACCAGACCACGCAAATATTAGGAGTGAAATAGAGGCACGAAGGTACGTGTATGAGTAAGACGTAATTGCACGATTTAGAAAAAAATATCCAATTAGTATATTACACCATGGGACATCCGACACAATGCCCTATTTCGAGGTGAAGCACGAGCAATATAAAGAAATTCAGGATGCAGTGCATCACGCCCTCGACTCGCAGCGGTCCACCACCCTCCCATCGACCAGGAAGTCGAACAGACACAGGCTCTGCGCGTCTTGTGGTAGCGTCGCGGAATGTTGCAATGGGTGGTGAACCGCAACAACTAACCACTGTTTTGTACATTGGGCTTGGCGAGATTGCCATAAATGCATTATGAATAAAATAGGGTCCACTTAGTGCAAGAAAATCTAAATAAACGAATAACCACAGAAAATCCTTAAAAAATCAGGCCGCTAAAAACGAGGAAGAGGGAGTTTTGGAAACTAAGCGAGGATGTTGCGCCAGAGAACACACGCCACCTACAGCTCTTTGAGTTCATGCGCACAGGTTATGTAAAACAATGACCAACATTTGACAGGTCAAGTAAATTGATGCCTCCTGGACTCACCCCGTGCCCCTTGAAAGTCTTCAACGGGGTGTCCACCTTCAGCTTACACACATAAATGTAGGTGTCGGTGGAACAGGAAGCGAACGTGTCGGCCGATTTCCAGTCGACGTCTAGTGTAGGTGCTGAAAGAGATTTTAAAAAAATAGTTCAACAAATAAGCTTTCCCCAATTACGCTAACGATGTTGCTTTCCGCATCCTGTGATCCGCCCTCATTCATTGCGCAGTGGAACAAGGCTACTTTATAATAGCCATGCTTTGGAGTATGAAAAGTATCACGATAACCACACTCTGCCAAGTCATCAGCAATTAATACCGCAGCACACTTGGAGGCACCTGGATTGACTAACAAGCAAGATAAAAAGATCTAATCAGAGCTGGAAATTGTAATGAAAACGAGACCGAGGCGCAGATGCAGCACGAGTGGAATCATCAAATGAAGCGGCTTTAGGATGACACGAAGTGGGTCAATTTCAACTGTTTTTACCCAAGATCTCTAGACCGCGATACTGGAGATTGGGTGAATTGATTAAGTAGGACCTTGAAAAGGAAACTAATGGGCCATCTAATGTGCCGACATTGAGGAAGGATGATAGATGATGCAACCAGACACGGAAGTCATTGTCACTGACATTTGTTAAGTCAAAGTCAACAATATAAGCGTAACAAATCAAACGGAAAACACACTGAAATTACAAGACTACATAGTGCCTTTACAGCCTTTTATTCAACACCATTTATCAAATTGGGTTTCTTGAAGGTTGTGCAATTTCAATAACCACAAATAACCAGCAATTAAATTCATGCATTTCTTACAAACATCTAAAACCGGTGCTAAAGATAACAAAGTGGTAAATGAATCCCATCAGGATATACCGAAATCATCGAATTAAACAATGCAGCTCACGGATAGGATGACTAGATAAATCATTATAGGATTTTTAAATCAACTAGAAAACAAAGTGCGACAGAGGTTGCTATGATCAATAAGAGGGGTATTTAACATCGTTATAAACCAGAATAAGAAACCAATTACAACGGTTTGATGGCAAAGAAATTTGCTTACCTTGGTGAAACGCAAACTGTTGGACGATTTGCCCTGTTTGGGCCTCCCAAATAATTGTTGTCTGTAAAAAAGAGCCGCATAAGCATAAAGGTGGGATCAAATCAATCGGATTGATATCGTCTCCAAACTTAAGCAAAGAAGCGATAACCATAATGATAAACTTAAGGGTTGATGCAGCACCCTTTAGGCAGATTAAAGCAAACAAATTTCGGGACTCGAATTCTGGGTCGATAAGGTGACCCATGCGACAGGAGAAAAACGTGCAGACGATTTTATTCAACTGGGTTCCCCGTAGATACTGCATACGTACCCCTCCGTTTAAATAAGTACGTAAACATACAACGATAAAGTGAACATTGAAACTGCCATAAAAATTGATTATCAACCGGGCATGTACATTGCCCGAGAAAACTTCCACCGTCAAAGGGGAAGTAGCCATGAAACGGGAACCTTCATTGTTGAGCTACTAGGAAGGGCTTCAAATTTTAACTTTTTCGAAAATCACAGGCTTTGTCAGTTGGGCAAAATGGTTCAGCCGCAGAACTCTAATATTGTTATCGCGTGATTAAATTAAATTACCTAAGGGAGAATGAGACTTGTTCGTTCGACTCACTTTAACTTAGACAAAGTATAGGTGATACAAACTCCCTTACTTTATCTACTCCGGCAGTAAGAATATAATTTCCCTTCCGATTCCACTTGAGTGCAAATATAGGACCTTTGTGTTGCCCGAGGGTTTTCTGGAGATTGCCTGCAAGGAAATAACGCACACACACACACCGTGAGGTAACGCTAACACCTCCCGAAAATTAAGAGACAAAAATAAACGGCTTGAAGAGACGAATCGAAGACACAACAGTGCACTTTAAGGCAATACTTCTATACTCTTGGAAGGTTGAAATTCCTAAGGTGAGCTGTGTGATAATCCTTCAAGCAAATAATCGAGAAAATTCCGAAAATGGCGACAAAGACAGGCTTCGAAAAACGAATATTAGGCAAATGATCCAGCTGAAATGAGAAATCAGTTTCCCGAAATAGTGAAAATTGGCTAATCAAAACTCGAAAGACACGGCATTGCTACTAGAACATACTTCAAGTTGGATTCCAAGTTAGAAGAAAAAAATATGCGAGGATGAGAATAGCAAAAGGGTGGTGATCGAAATGAAGGGGTGACAAAGTGCATTCAGGTTAAAGAAATAAAATGAAACAGACGAGTGAGGCTAATTATTCACAAAAACGGGGAAAATAAGACAGGGGGGACAACAAGCGCGTGGACATCGATTGAAGGGTAGGCAGAGAGAGGAGGGTGGGAAACTGGACTTTAAGCTGATTGGAGGAGAAAAGGCGCACGCGCTCACACTGTACTTCGCCAAACTGCCTGCATGCATGTGCACACACACACACACACACGCAAACAGACGTCGCTTTTCCACAACATCGGCACGACGCTGCAGTAGCGATGTCGTTTACACGGTCGCGCACACGCCAGCTACACGCAGACAGAGGGTGCTGCCACCGCCTGCAAACACACGCACTTGCTCAGGACTGGCGACTGGCAACCGATAGCGTCGCAACACGCGGCCTGCTGCATACGCAATCTGTGAGTTTCCCTGTCGGTGCAGGTGCAGTTTCAGAGGATGCCAAGCAAGCACCGATTGTCAATCAAGCAAACCTCAAAGAAAAACCCCATGAATGGTCCGAAAATCGGCATTACGCTGTCGTTAACCTCCTGGACTGCACGAAACCCCAATATTTGTTGGGACAACTCGGATCCCGTCACGTAATTACAATTAAGGGATAGAGCTCACGTCCTTCGCATTATCATGGATTGGTTTTGGCTAGACAAAAACCTCGGAAATCGGTAAATATTACTAAACAAGGTCACCCAGGTCACAACTCAAAAATGGGGGATTTAACAATGAAAAAGGCCACTTCAATTCCCACGTGAGGAGACGATGAAGCATGACGCGGGGCTGTAATCTAAGAGTGGGTGACCAAGAGCACAAGACACAGCCTATCAGATACTGATGCCAGAGACGCTAAACTGCCGCATGGGAACCAACATCAAACCAGTCTTTTAAGGCTGAACGCAATGACAAAAAAGGGTCAAAAACATGTCGTCTCAAAAGAACGTGCCTGAAGGAGCTGGGGAAACCAGTAATGAGAAATTTGTCGAGAAAATGGTTGAAAACTTATTAACGAAGTTGTACTTTAGAACAAATAGCAAAACTGGAGCTTTCTGGGTGCTTTACATACGATCCAACTGGAATAAACCATTATTGTGCCCTTTTACGATGCGTATTATGACTGGAACTACACTGAGGATGCCAAATTGCGTTGAAAAAAAAAACGAAATCTAAAAATTTTAAATGTGTTCAGTCATGAATGATTTTGGGCGAACACATAATTGGAAAAGGAGACAACGGGCGACTTACCATCAGTGTCCCAGACTCGAGCGTAGCCGTCGTAGGAACCAGTTGCTAGAAACCTGCCATCGGCCTGCAAGGGAAACAGAGACATACAGCGTGAGAAAAATCGGATGGCATTAAGTATGTCCGCAGTAATTTGCTAGAATCTCCTGCATCAATGAAAACCAATTCGAATACCTTGAAAAAGAATACAACACACGACCAGGCGCTGAAAATGATGCGCAGTATCACTGTTCTCCAGAATTAGAGGTTCCGAAGTTAAGGTAAGCATAAATAATGAAGCAGATCAGATAAAGAAACAAGGACGTACATTCCAGTCCAGGGATGTGACATCCTTTGCGGAGAGAACAGAGTGACCATCACGGCTTATGCAGTGCTTGAGAATAATGGGGGAATTTCGAAAACTCGTTGGCGATGCACTCTCCAAATTCCAAATTCGTGCCGTCGAGTCCCCAGAACTAAAAAAATGCAACACTGAGGATAAAAAACGGCACACGGTGTGACTTGAAACCGTAACTTCGCACAAACATGAGCCTAGCGTATTCACATACACACACACGCGCGCGTGCACACAAACAGCTGACCTTGACTAACAAGATTATCGGAGAAGCTTACAGTTGCATTTTTACGACTGGGTTAGGGATCCTAACGAATGTACACATTTGAAAATAAAGTAGATAAGGCAGATAATGATCCAGCGACCACGCCTATTCCCATTGGACAATACATTGGTTCAAAAGAGAAATAGCTGAGGACGGAGTCAGAAAAGACACATCAAACCCGCAAAACACCACGACTTGTCTTAAGAAGGCAACAGAGCCCTATTGGAAAATTGTGACTATGCTAATGATGACAACAACTGACTTGATTTGTTCTTGCTACTTGGATAAGGTGGCAAAACGGGTCACCGAAAATACCTGAAGTGCGAATGCAGATTGCTCAGGACGGTCTTTGAGGGAACTGGAAGCCCACGTAGGCCAAACACAAACTATCATGTGTACGCTTGCGCGCGCGTGAGTGCGTGGTTTACTGGCTATGATGACGTAGACGCGGATCCAGATACGAGGACAAAAGTCCGCATTCATGTACACACCAAACGTCAATGTGCATCCGTATTTTTTTTCACGTAAACAAGGGAACAAGAAAGTAACTAACGTGTGGCATATGCACAAGGGACCGACACTACCGAAGGCAAGATAAAAAAGTGAAAAAAACCAAACCAAGACTGAGGCGAACACGGACTGGTTGGTTAGCATTGATAGTTTTGTTGCGCGAATTGCAACTTTTGATTAAGGAAAGCACAGCTGCACTGCGAAAAATTATGATTGATGTCATCTGGCATCCACGAAATATCCAAAGTGTTTAGGGCTTTAAGATTTTGGTAAATTTACAAAATATGGATGCAACTAATCACAAAAAGTAACTAATCCGGTCAAAAGAACGATCGATGGTCTGGCAGACAGGTCTACGCACATGCACACACACAAATTTACCGTTCCAACACGCCCATAAGTGTGCGTATTTCCAGCCCTCATTACGAGGCCATAATCACAGGACTGTCAGCACAAGCATAACCACGCGCGCAGCGCACCACTGCAGATTGGGTAGGAAGGCTCACGCGCACGGTTGCCTTGATGGCATTAGCAGTCTTTATAGAAGAACAGCCACTACTGGAACAAAGGACATGGTACCCGAATCCGATTAACACG